GACCACTCGAAGAACCAGAGTTACAGGTAAGTAACCTTTCTTTTTTTATTTATTTATTTTGCACTTTATTCAATGGTTTAAGGACTGCCATTTAATCCTGACCTCCCCACCCTTTAAAGTAACTTCTACCCTTTTGAAATGCCCAGAAACTCTGCCCTATACTTTCAAGCAGGATTGCAAAAGCCCCTGGGAGTGTGGGATGTGATGAAATGCCCTCTCTGATCTTTGCAGATGGGGGAGCAGGGAGAAGGGTTGTTCCCATGTACCTTATAGCGACCCTTTCTTCTGTACAATGTTCATGGAAGAGGCAGCATATCAGAAAGTCCCATAGTTGTGATATCCTCTCACCACATCAGACCACGTCCAAATGCAGACCGCCCAGATTTCACAGACAGCCTTAGTCCAAATGTCTCATCTCACTATATCAGCATCAATTCTCCCCCTGCCATGTATCACAAATTAGCATCTCCTAAATATAAATTTACTCTTTATATGAGTAAATAACATTCATTCTGGTTGTCTCCTGAAACAACCCAGGTAACAAATTAAGGTAGAACTTTAGTTCTGAATTGTTCTGAATTATGCTGCGTGTAATTACCTCAGTTCTGGTTTGTCAGTACTGGTGACACAGTTGGCTGCCTAGTTCTTCAAAGATATTTCCTGTCAGCTTCCACGTTATTTAAAGTTCCTTTTATTGTTCCATGCTCTGGTCCTGCATAAGTACAGAACACCTTCACCCCTAACATAATCGCTCTTCCTTTAAAATCTGTTATTTGGCACAGAGACCACATTGCCTAAGACAGACAGATGGGGCCAGGCTCTTTGTTTGACACTCATATTCTATAATTTCCTTTCCAGAGAGATCTGGCAAAAACATCCCCTCACACACACAGCTGACATGTGTTTGAAGGGTTTTCCCCAACCGTAGATGACGTATGAAGCAGTTTTGTGCTGTTTTATTCTATTTCATGACTGATTTATCCTGTTGAAGATTTAGAAGTGAAACCATTTACCTTCATCTCCATCATCTCCAAAGGGGTAGAAAAGTGCTACTGCCAGATTGATGAAAACAGCCAGATTGAAAGATATGCTTCCCCAGAGGGAAATGTGTCGAGAGAACCAGAAGAGAGCTGGATTATCTAGAAAAGAAGGTAAAAGAACGTGAAGGCAAGGAAGCAGGAATTCTGTTAATCAAAAAGCAACATTATCAGGGGAACAGTAGAAATTCCAGCATGTCCTCTACACAGGCAGGAGACACCAGCAGATTACGGAAGCCAGAGATATTGTTTCTAGATTGATATAGTGTTCAAGTTACGGTTTGTCTAGATTCTCTTACTCTTCCTCCCCAGAAAGAGAGATATGCCATAAAAAACCAATGAAGGAATGTAGGTATTTGAATATGCCTTCACATGAGCAGCAGCAACTCTTCTTCACAAAAGAAGAGGTCAAGGCAAAGGCAGCAGTTGCTGCTCTTTCCAACTCTTTCCCATTGGATATGCAATGTTTTAGTTTTCAAAGGTGAAGTCACTTGCTTGCAGATTAATGGAGTGGAAGGACTCCCTGTGTAACTGACCACTAGATTTGGGCTCAGCTAGGTGACAGTCAGAAATAGCTGTTTCAACTAGGCAGGGTGACCTTTGCTATAACCTGAAATATGTTTTGTGTTGTGGATTTATGGCTGGAAATCTTAATCATCTTTAGCCCTCTGCAATACTAGTAGTGCACCAGATTGCATGCTTGTTGTTACTCACCAGCCACACACACAAAGCTGTTATATGGGATAATAAGATTTGAATGTACAGAAATTCATCTCCCCCCCAAAAAAATTCCATACAAAATAATTCCCCCCCCCAAAAAAAATTTCCATACAAAATAATTTTTGCTGCTGCTTTGTGTTTCCAGGTGGGCATATTGCTGCCAAATGTTGAAATTCTGGACTTGCTTACTGATATCTATGGGCTGCCTTCTGCCTAGGGTGTGAAAAATATAATCTTGCAAGTCATATTTAGCAAAAAGAAGCTTGACACCGCTGGCTGCATTAAACATTCAGTCAAAAATATCGGACATATCTGTACATTTGCATCATCTTATGAAAGGAGTGGGGAGACCTGGCCATGTGCAGTAGCCCAATTTGACTGCACATGCCCATGTCAGGCACCATAACCTTTGGAGCTCATACCGTAGCCCCCATGGCTGACGAACTATGATTGATAAACCACTTACCAAGGATCATCCAATAAGGTCAGGAGAATTGACACTTGTACTTGCCAAATTTCCAGAGTAGGCCCTGGGTAATCTTCTGTGATGAGATGAATATGCCTTGCAAATTTGACACTAAGATTTGCTTAGCCTATATCTTGCTAGGATTCCCAGCAACTACAAGATGGCCTGAGCCACAGTGCTGAGGTCTTAGGATTCTCTGCTCTACAGCAGACCAATTGGAGGCTCACATCATGACATGGGTTACTGTACTTGACAGTATGTCTAATTCTACAACAGAAGACTGGCTACAGGAGGAAAGACCTACTCCATAGACAGCATAGTTGCGACCTCCTAAATGGTAAAATTATGCAATTTCACTGGACCTAGGATATACGTGAGTAAATGGGTTTTCACCTCTGGTCTCTAAACTTCATTGAAAAACTTTTCCAAGACTCCAGAGACAGGAAACACTGTCTGTATAAGGCGTTTTTGGTTCACTAGTCTATAATTAATACATGTCATACTGCCCCATCTGGCTATAAATACAAATCATACAGCCATAAAGGCCATACAGCCATAAATAAAGGGAATTAAAAGCAGCTAAATGACACTAATGACTTCTCCCCTTTTCCAAAAATAGACTTTGTCTCTTTTTCCAAACTGACAAAGGACTGGGACAGGAAGTGAGGGACCCAGGTTACAAATCTGAACTGGGCCTAGAGAAAAATCAACTTCCTGTCAATCCCTCCTCAAATAGTGGGAAAGCATTTTCTGTTCCTTAAATTTTTCTCTTCCCCTGATCTTCACATCCAAGAGGATCTGAAGAAATGAAAGGTATGCACAGTAATGATCAGCAGCGTACCTGCCCTGCCATAATCTTTACGCTGAGGACCAGACAGGTAAAAGTTACCAACTGTGTGTAAAAGTCTCCAATTGCAAATTGTCTAGACACAGACATAAGGACTGAGCCACCAACATAGGTATGGCATAGTGTTAGATTTGAGGCATGTGCACACACAACCACTCGCCTGGTCTCCGTCATTGAGGGTACATGCAAAAGCAAAAGCTATGGCAGATTTATTCATAACAAAATGTCTATTTGTATACTGTCTGTACATTTAAAATATGTATTTACATGTGCATATGCATACCAATAATATCTGTACCAATATATGATATACACACTTACAATTATTACATAGGCATATATTTTATGGTTGAGGTCATATCAGAACAAGTTTAAGCAGAGTAAGATGGAGTTGGGAAAGCTGGAACCAATTCTGATGCACTTCCTCTTGTGGGTCAAGCATGCAAAATGTTCATCTCCACAATGGGACGAATGATGAGAAAGCAATAGGCAGATGATCTGCACTTCCTGAGAAATTACCCTGATTATTTTGTCTTAGGTAAAGGTAAAGGTTCCCCTTGACATTTAGTCCAGTCGTGTCCGACTCTAGGGGGCGGTGCTCATCCCTGTTTCCAAGCTGTAGAGCCAGCGTTTGTCCGTAGACAGTTTCTGTGTTCACGTGGCCAGCGTGACTAGATACAGAATGCCATTACTTTCCCACCGTGGTGGTACCTATTTATCTAGTCACATTTGCATGCTTTCAAACTGCTAGGTTGGCAGGAGCTGGGACAAGTGACAGGAGCTCACTCCGTCATGTGGATTCGATCTTACGACTGCTGGTCTTCTGAGCCTGCAGCACAGAGGTTTCTGCGGTTTAACCCGCAGTGCCACCACGTTCCTATTTTGTCTTACTGACTTTTAAAAGATTTTCCACAATACTGGATTGATGCAAAAATACAGTCTTTCTAAAAAAACTTAATATGCTGTTTCTATCACAGAAATCTTTCCAGCAACCTTGAAAGTAAGTCACAATTATTGTTCCCAAATATAAATAAGGCCACCATGACATGATGGTGGCCTGCTTAGGACCATTGCCAAAGCGACACCTGCACTGGGCACTTTTGGGTCCACCCCTTGAGCAGTTCCACAATACCTGCAAACTTAGGGGATGCAGCTGGTTCTAACCAAGAGGACTGCATTCATTTAGGGGTAATGGATACGCTTGGAATTTTGAGGAGTTATTATTAACAGGCTTCATTTATGCTTTAAAAAAAAACTTAGTATTTTTTTCTTTCCAAACATATGAACAATATAGAACTCAAATGGCTCTACCGACAATCATGTTTGCAGTTCTTCGAGGAGGAGACTCACCTCAATTTCTCACAAGGAGCTGGAAGTCATTTATTCAACAGATACTAAGCAGACCAATTTTTGGACTTGTGAAAACGGTACTTACTCCTGATTTTCTTTTGCCACTTCATTTCATTATACAGATCCTCAGCCTGTTGGAAAAAGTCATTCACTTTGCTTCCTTGCTCATCTCTCTCCGTTGTGTTGAACACACGGCACTTGGATTCATGAGTGAGGAATTCACAGATATTTGGCACAGGGAAAACTATTTGTTCCATAGTTCTGTCATGGCGGACAATCTGCAAATACATGTTTCTCATTCAGATGCTGAGAAAGTTTGAATAGCCTTTATTGACTGCTGCTTCCTGCTCATATGCGAGGAGGAAAGGGACAAGGAGAATGACAGAGAAAGCATAATCTAGTTCAAAGACAAGGTAGGACAATGTAATTTGGCAGTGTGATAGTTTGTCTAGAAGGGATAATGGGGAACATCTTGATCTTGAGTGGAGCAAAGAGTCTTGTTCATTAATATATTTTCAACCTCAATGAGTGAGCACCTAGACAAGGGCTAGATACTTCCATGGCAGGGATCTGATGGCTGTTGTAGGTTTTTCGAGCTGTTTGGCCATGTTCATAAAGTTTTTCTTCCTAACGTTTTGCCAGTCTCTGTGGCTGGCATCTTCAGAGGCTAGGCGTCAGAACTCACCAGAGCACAGAGAGAGTTCTGACTCATGTCCTCTGAAGATGCCGGCCACAGAAACTGGCAAAATGTTAGGAAGAAAAACCTTAAGAACACGGCCAAACAGCCTGAAAAACCTACAAGAACCAAGGGCTAGAGACTTTGCCATCCAAAGCCTAAATATGTTTCCAAAGGCTGATATGTTTCCAAAGATTTCAGAACATCTCTGTTGCTTGCAGAAGGAGGGCCTTTTGTGGACAGCAAAAAAGGGAAACCTCAGAAAGGAGAAAAAGGGCAGAAAAATTGCTGCTATATATAAAGCATCCTGCCTAAGCAAAGCAACATTTTGCAATTGTAAAGTGAGGAGGAGCTGATGGACAGAGTGCTTTGAACTTAGAGGGCCTTTTTAGCATTGCAGAAGTATCCATGCAGCAAATTTTCTGCCCTTTTTCTCCTCTCTGAGGTTTCCCTCTGAAGATGCCGGCCACAGAGACTGGCAAAACATTAGGAAGAACAACCTTCAGAACATGGCCAAAGAGCCCGAAAAACCCACAGCAACCATTAGATCCCTGCTGTGAAAGCCTTCACGAATACGTTTCCCTTTTTGCTGTCCGCAAAAGGCCCTCCTTCTGCAAGCAACAGAGATGTTCTGCAATGCGTCTGAATTTTGGGGTAATGGCTGGGGGCTATAAATTCAGTCAGCTCTCTTTACCTACTGCCACTCAGTGGGAAAGAGAAGACATTCTCCTATCTCCTGTTTATCATTCACAAGTTCCCAGGGCTGAGACTTCAGGCAGTGAGATGTAAACTATGTCTGCACATGAACTGAAAAATGTGGACTGTATCTGAAACCTAGAATCCAACTAGGAGGAAGCACAGAAAGGACATACATCATTATGCAGGATGAAGTCCTTCCATGCTGAATGTGTTTGTTTACTTCCTGCAAACAAATTTCTCCTATATTTAGCATTCAGAAACTGAGCAAAGAGTGTTAGAATTTTGCTATCCAAAAAGTTAATGAAAAAGTCTGTGACATTCCAGATTCTATACTGCCAGCACCTGAAATATAGGGAGATTTGACAAAGGGCTTCAGTTTTGGCCCAAACTGATATACAACATGAGCAATTAAAATAACCTTGGTAAATGCAGCATTTGTGTTATACTGATTCAAATGTTATAGACTTTATTACGAAGACAGGGATATATAACTCCTTGTCAGTTGTTTTGGTGAAGTTTTCAAAGCTACAGTTCAAAAAAATAAAGTGAACTAAAGCCCTTTGTATTTCCTTATGTTTGTTCTGAACTGCTCATCTCCTCATAAATAATGGTGCTGCTGGATTAGCTCAAGGACTCTTCAGCAAACCATTTCCTTTGCAACAAAGACGAATTTGCTTGGCCCCTTCATTGGGAACCTTTAAAAGCAACTAAAACATGGCTTTTCAGATAGACCTTCCCAGATTTGAATGCATCCTGATGCAATAGCGCCTTTAATAATTAACATCCAACCCACTGCCATGTTTTCATTTTATTTTCCTACCTCTTATTATGTGGTATTTTAGTGTAATTTATTTAGGACCTTTTATATTTTGTTTGGTTGTTCTTGAATACTCATTGTTATGTCATTGTTTTATTTTATTTGTACACCGCCCAAAGTGGCCTTTGTAGCCAGATGGGTGGTATAAAAATTAAATAAGTAAGTAAATAAATAAATAAAATAAAGAACAGCCAGGTTATCTAGAGCAGCCATTCTCAATGGGGGCCATATGGCCCCCTGGGCCCCCCTGCACATTTAAAGGGGGTCACAGACTGGAAACAATTCTTCACACACATTATAAGGCTCATTAGGTAACTTATACAATCCTGATTTAGCCTATATTTCTTTAATACTGTGTTAATGTCCGTGGCAAAGAGAGAGAGAGAGAGAGAGAGAGAGAGAGAGAGAATGGCTGGTCTAGGGGGCCCAAGACTCTCCAGCTTTGCTCTAGAAGCACAGCGGTGTTCAGCATTCAGTATTCTTAGTTCACTGCATTTGGTGTTTGGAGATCTATTGCTTCTAAATATAGAGGCTCTGCTTACCTTCCATGTCGTATGGCTCCCAAGAGCCTCTTGCAAGACACCTAGAAGCAGGGCACCCTTAAAAGGGGAATACTTGACTGTTTGTTGTAATGCAGCTTGTCTCAACCCACATTTGGCACATCAATTAGTTTTTGCTGTACATTATCATTGATCAGTCTGTGAGACAGCATGGCTTTGTTTGCAAGTTTGATATCTGAGGGAAGCACTGAAAGATTCCTGTGACTAAAGGGGTATTGTAAGAAGAGGAAACAGAGAGTTGCCTTAACATGTGATATAACCCTGATAGACTTAGCACTTGTGACTTTGTTTAATCTTTTTTTAAAAAAGCAAAACATTAAAGTTAGAGGCCACCACCAGTATTATTATTATATAGCAGTATTATAGTTCAACTGTGGATTGTGCCAAGAACTACTGTCCTTTCATGCATCTGCTTCTAGCCAGACTTACGAAAGGGCCTCAGCCTGCTCTCATACTTTTCACATCTATCTATACTCCTCTCCCTGTAATGGCAGAATTTTATTGAGCTAAGCTAGGGATGGCCAACTTCTACATTCAAGCTCAGGGAAGTTACAAGATTCTTCAGGAGCACACCCGAGTGAGGAAGTGGGAACAGATGTGGCCTCACAATTTGACAGCTTCATGAGTGGTCAGGCTCTGTAAGGAACACATTGTCTCCAAGCCCTATGAGACTCACATTGATGGGAGTGCCTGATTTCAGGCACTACTGGAGCATTATAGAAAACGATCCAAAGGGATCTTCAGCATTCAAGTACAAGAAATGTTTATCTTTTTCCTTTTCATTTGAAAATGTCTTCATGTGTGGAACTGTCATAAAACAATGTTTTCTCACATTTTAATTAATATTTGGTAGGACTGCTAAGAACTGATAGGATGGTCAGGGATCACCTAATTTATTATTTATCTTATTTTTCTTTTTAAAAAAAAAACAGTGTTCAAGACCGATAGAAATATAACTAAAAATAAATTTTAAAAATTTGAAAGACTAAAATCAATAATCAATAAACAATTGATATATATGTCTTCATGCCCTTCATAAAAGCAGAAGAAGTGGGAACAGTTTGCAGTGTTGATGGGGATACCTTTAATGTCAGCTGTCTCCTACATGTTCTTCAAACAGACTTCTGCAGATTGTGACAAGACCTTTCCTGAAGATCTTAATGTAGAGATGGGTTCTTAAAAACACAAGGTATCTGTCATGATTGCCAAGTCTTCAGCCAACTCAGGGCTTTAAAGGTCAACATGAGCATGTTGTATAGGACCTTGAGAGCAACTGGCAATCATTGCAGGTCTTTCAGTACTGGAGTAATAAATCTGATTAAGTTTGGTTTATGGGCTAGCCTAAGTCCAAAGGTGGCCAACAATGGCATCCCCAAATTAAATCTTCTTCAAACTGACATGCTGATCCAGTTTTACCCCTAAAATCAGAAAGGATGGAAGTCCCATGATGAATACCCAACGTGATTTAAAGATGTTTTAGCCTTCAGATGAAAAGCATCTGTTATAGAGTTGGAAGTAAAGCCTCTTAGCCCATGAACAATTTATGTTCAATGAACAATCCTTTACCTCAATCTGTGCTGTGTGGTTGGCATAGTGTTTCAAAGCTTCATCTCCTTCTTCTGGATCAGACCCAGGCTTCAGCATGTGTTGCAGTATTTTATTGTGACGAGCCAGCTGGAAATAAAAAGGGGGATTTATTTGAACCATTTCTTGCTAGTGAGAAAGAAAGAAAAAACACAAAAAGACTCACGTGACCCTTGTACAAATTCCAAAAACAAGAGTGGGCAACACCTTCATAAGACCACTAAAATCTAAAGAACTTATTTGCTTTCTGCTCCTCTGCCAGCCTGATGAAGAATCCTACTAGACTCAAAAGATGGCCTGTTTCTGTTTTTGACATTAGTCTAATAAAGATACCACTCACTCTTATTTTTGGATTCCCTGGCAGAGTGCTTTCAAGAATTACCCTATCTTCACTATACATATGTACATACATGTAGCAGTTTCTCCCCTCCTCCACAAATAGCAAGGACACATTCAAGAAGCAGCTGCTAACTCTCTTCTGTAGGGTATGCAGTACAGACTAATAGCTGCTATTGGCTTGCCTCTGCTTGGATGGTGTCATGCCAGCTCTTTCTACTAGTGCACACCCAACCTGACAGTACAGGTCAGAAATGAGTGTGATTTACAATAGCAGCTGCTGCCTAGGAAAGGGGAGCAGCAGTGGCGACTACTCTTAACTGTACTTCCCACCTAAAGCTTGGAAAAGTTACTTTTTTTACTATACATCTTAGAATCCCGTAGCTGGGATGTGGGGTCCTGGGAGCTATAGTTGAAAGAAGTGACATTTCTGAACTCATTTTTAGTCGATCTGTTTTGGCTCCTGCCTATACTCTCCATTCTCTGATGGTTATTGCTACTCATTTTCAAGGATTAACGATGAACCTGCTATAAGTCTGGTTGTTGTTTGACAATGCCAACCCCATTCCCTCTTCAGCACTACTACTAAGAGTGTCTTCCTGCATCTCTGACAAACTGAGCTCTAATCCACCTCAAGAATGATCTTGAAAAACACGTTCTGTCTCTGGACTTTCTGCTTCTTTCTTTCTTGGCAAATAATGAGACCCTTTTCCAATTCTGGCACCGTAGGGCTCTCCTCCACAACTTTTAAAAAGCGATTTCCCTAGACAAATCTGTATTGCTTTGGAGAATACACGAGTTGCTGGAGAATGCCAACTGAGTTTGGCTATAATCAAAGTGATTTTTAAAAGGAAAACAAAGCACAGTGGTGAGAGTGAGATTCATTTTATCTAAAAACTTTTCGTCAGACTGCCTACAATAACCTTTACAATGATATCTTCATTCCCCATGTCCCAATCAAAGCAGGGGAGAGCTTTCTTTTATACATATTTCAACTTCCCTTCCAAGACCCAGTATGGCTTTATGGCTTTACACCTCACTGGCCAGCAAACAATTTGTTAACAAACATTAAAAATAGCAGGGCATGAATCACTGAGCAACAGGGAGCCCTGGAATAAAATATTCAGAGGTCTAATTAGGCTGGTTATGTTCTCTGCAGTAACTGCAGGAGCTAAGAAAGAGCTAATCTTTTTCCGGCAAACAGTGACACTGATAGGGCACTGACAACCCAACCTCCCCTTGGCTCATTTTCTTGGATAATTGCATTTGCTCAAGCAGGAGTCATTTTTGTCATAACTTGTTTCAACAGGTCTGGAGACTTGAGCCTACAGTGGATATTAAACTGATCATCTGAGGATACCAGGTGGGGATTTAGCTTCTATGTGGCCAGCCACTTCTAGCCAAAGGAGGGGGCAGCAAGGAGATCAGCCATTCCAATGTACTACTGTTCTCTGCGTCAATAGCTCACATCTCTCCTGGCCCTAGTCTACAAAAGCAACCCCACCAGGTTTGCTCTCTGGTCTGAGAAACTAGAGGATTTTCTGTTCTTGAACACAGCTGGCCCTTGCTCCCTTTTTCTCCTTCACTCTACCCACCGTTGCAGAGGATTCTGTCAAGTCATGTCCAACTTCATGACAACCCTCTCCAGGGTTTTCTAGGTATAGAATACTCAGGAGTAGTTTATTAATCACTTCTTCTGGGACTGTGCAGCTGTATGGTTAAAACACATTCATTCTACCAAGGTTTTAAAGTTGTGGTCTCTATATAGGCAAGCAGTACTGTTGCTAAGATGATGTAAATATTAGAGTCAATATTTTTTCTATATTTAACTGATGTTCTTGTATGAGCCACTTTCCTAAATGAATGGGCAAGGTGATGCACAATTGACAAAATCAAGCACATGATCATTAAAATTAAAGCAAAAGATATGGGAACAGCAGCAACACAGTCTTTTAAATAAGAAAAAAAGTAGCTTAAAACAACTCAAAACAACCATCCAGTGGTCATTTTAACTAGAGGATATGGGGAGATGCAGTCCGGAAAGGTAGCATTTCCAAGCTGTGGTCTGATGGCTGTGGGAAGTAGTATCTTGGACTACATGTACTTTGGTCTGAACTAGCAATAAGAAAACAACTTCAAGAGACAATTTTGTCCTGCATGGTTCCCAGACTGTAGAATGCTTTTAGGAAGGGTGAAAAAGAAAATTTCAAACCTGGTATATACTGTAAATGTCCACTCTCCATGACGTTTATGCACTTAATTGACTGTAATGGCTTTTATGGTAGGGTTGATTTTGATTTTTTTTAAAAAAATTCAATATTTTCATAAGTTGTTTATTTTTCTTGTTTTTATTGCTTTAGAAAACTGTAAGCCATCATGAGCATTACTTTGTAGTGGGAGGGCAAGGTACGAATGTAACTAATAATAATAATAATAAATGATGATGATGATGATGATGATGATGATAATGATAATAATAAAAAATAATATTAAGAACAACAACTATCACTGCACTCATATGCAAAATTGTGCAGATTTGCTTGATTAATTCAGCAACAAAGCAATTAAAACTCAAACAGTTTAAGTGTATGATAGTTCTACTTCTCATCAGACTGAAAGTGCTCCCCTATCTTCACAAGGCCCATTCTTTCATTGCAAAGGAGGGTAGACCCTTTCAACATGACGGTAGGGGCTGTCATTGAGAAATTCATTAAAACTATTGGGGATGGTCATTCCTGCAATGTTCCTGTATCATGAAATAGTGTTCTTCCACAGAGAGAAATACTTCCTGAGTAAACTAGGGGCTTGGATGACATTTGCCACAACAGCAAAGTATGCTCTTTAAAACTGGGGGGGGGGGAGAAAAGAGTGTGCTAAGTGTAAAGTTCCCTCACCCCATCAAAGAATGATAATTTCTTCTATCTACACAAGTCCTCATGGAATGGCCCAAAATGCTAGTGGAATTTTTGGCAGAGCACTGTTAATTTTCATTACTCAGCATTTGTTGGTGGATACATGAACAATTAATACAAACAAAAACTTAATGGGCCAAAACTCCTTAAATGATAACGTGAGTGGCTATTCTGCTCTATCAGAATCTCCCTGAAGTCAACAGGATATACAGTGTTAGATTTCATGTCTGTCCATGGTCTAAGTTATGACACTAAAAGGTAATACTCCACAGGGGAAAAGTCAACAAGATGTAGAGGGAAGAGGCTGCCAAAGATTCTGTTTGCAACGGAACAGCATCTACGGACATTTGTTTAATCTTTTTCAGGCTCGTTAGTGTCAAGCCTCTGTTACATCACCCACGCTAGATCTTTCGAGCAAACTCGAGGTAGAGGTATATACCATTTTAATGAACCGCAAGGTGGGTGATGCATGTCCTTGCCTCCCATTTCAGTTTTAGCAATCCAAGGCAAAGTGCCTTGCGACAGCTTCTGATTCTGCTGACGTTTAATTAGCTGGTCTCACAGTGACACTATTATCTTGTCTCATCAGGATGATAACTACAAAACAAACATGCAAGGCATAGAAGTTCTATGACAAGCACTAGGCTTGGCAAGCAATGATGTGCGCACCCAGGAAACCAGATTTCCTGAGACCAGTCCATAGTTGCCTTAGCACTGCAATCGACAGATGTACCACATTGTTCAGGGAAAGAAACCACAAGCTCAGCAAAGCCCACACACACACTTCTCTCTGGGGAGCAGTGTTATATTTCTTCCGAAATTTAGAGGGTTTTTTGTTTTGTTTCCTAGGAAAGTTGGCAGGAGTGGCTTGTGAGAACCGCAGTTTGAAGCCTCCAAACTACTGTCATCCTGTTTCTCATTATTTATAGTGGGTTCAACATCTGCTGATAAGAATGTGCACTTCAAGAGAGAAACAGCTTCTCTTGCCTACAGAAGGCTGTGGAAGTTGTGGAAACACCCACACTCTTTCAGATGTCAGAAAACAGCCCAAAGTTTAAACTTGCCCCTGCGCATTCATGTGCATGCCCCACATTGATATACAATAGGTGCTCCTTTGAGGAATAGCGCTTGTAGTGGAGATTTTAATCCTCACCCCAACCAAAACAAAATCTATAGCTGTTGCATAAAATATAAAATTGATTTTGCGTATATTTGGTTATTACGAATTCCTCTTTTTTTCCTCTATGTCAGCCTTTCCCTTCCAGTGCTGGACTATGACGCTCATGGGGCAAGGGTGTGCCTTATTTTATTTTATTTTGCTTCCGATAATCTGCAAGGTATCCCATATGCTGATGGAACAACAGCAGCAGCAGCAAGAATAATGTTACAATAGTTTCTTTACCTATCCAACTGTGTTTTGGTAACTCAACACTGCTTGCATGTGTTCAAAATAACCGGCTGGACCCACGGTTGCTTCTCGTATATGCAGAACTATTATGTTAACTCCCTTTAAGCCATGATTTAAAAGCTAGAAACCATCTCTGGTTAAACAGTTTGTTGACTGTGATGTTAACTGTTTAACCACAGCAGTTGGAAAGGGGTTTCAGATCCTGATTTGAGGGGGAGCTGTAGTTAATGTGCAGCTAAATTATGGGTGTGTGTGGATGGGGTGGATTTGCTACAGGGAAGAGAAGATGCAGAGTGGCCATATGTACTGTATTCCTAAAGTGGCTCCACACTGACCTCTATCACTGATGCTTATGAATGGTCTGGACTGAACCGGTTGGCAAAGACCAAAGAGCACAGAAGGCTGATCACAGTCTCTTGGTGGGCCCCTGGACTTTCTGCTGGACTACCTACCACTTGCTGGTTGCTGAGATTCTTGCCAACAATTCTGAAATAATTGAACCTTGATCTGACCCAGCAATGTCTCTGCTTCTATGCTTAAGCAAGACTGTACACTCACAATCATTCAACAAAGATTATGCTTCAATTATAAAGAGATCCAGAATATGAACTCTTGCTTCATAAAAATGTTAAATGCAGGCATCGTATATTACAGGGATTCTAGCCAGAAACAAAATAGGCACAGATGATTAAAATGCATTTGCTGTTTCATTGTGCTCAGGAATTCATATTAAAAATGTTTAGGTTATTTTTTGGGATGTCAATAATAATTTTGCTACTAAATGTGGTCTAGAAAGGCAAACCTACTACATAAAATGACTTATGTCTTTCTTTTTGGTAATAACGACTACCAGCAGGAGCCCCCCCCCATTTTGAGTTACTTATTAGTTCAATGCGCTACTATATGCTCACAACAGTACCCAAAGGAGAACCTTTCATCATCATCCAAAAATTTTTTTACAATATTTTTAAAAACCCTTCTATCTTTGCTCTTTAAGGATGTTAGCAAAGAAATGAATTGCACTCAGTGGGAGATTTGTTCAAACTGATGTTTACTTACAGTGAACACAAAGCCTAAATACCACACAGTGTTAATTTCTTTTAACTCTAGCAGGTGGAAGCTTTCATCAGCTCCTGGGCCATCAGGAGAGGGATAGGTTTACATAAGCAGCCTCAGCTAATCAACTTTTAATTTCAGATTATTCAAACAGGCCCAAAGGGGGGTATCCATGTATCTCAAACCAGAGCCCTTAGCAGTCAAGACCACCACGGGTGTACTTTCCATGCCAGCCTGGCAGACTGTGCCTTTGGGATGCTGTTTAGGCTGCAGTGCCAGTCTAACATTCCCATCTGCTGACACCAATGGTCAATCCCTCTCCACCAGAACCACAAAGCCTTAGCCTCAGAGCTTCCTCCCCTGCCCAGCATCTTTTTTTTTGCTAGTTCCTGCCTCCTTTGTCTGGTTGTTCCTCTGGTTAAGAGTTTGCCTCTGTGACAGAAATGGGAAAAGGGGCCATACTCACTATCTATGGTCTTCCCCCAAATATATATACAGTACAGCTCCTCCCCCCTGATGTCCCGCCTTCCACTCCCCATAGGATGGAACTTTCCCTCCAAACCCATGACAGACAGGTACCATCAGTGCTGTATGTGACACTATCTAATTCAGGAAGAGTTAGTGCAACTCCCCCCCCCATGTTTCCCATCTTGACCCTGATAATTGTGAGAGCACTCTTCCTTTTGTCCACTTGTATGGGGGGGGGGAGAACTGAAGATTTAGAAAAAGCTTTGCAATGGGGCAACTTCTAACTATTGCTTCTGACAGTGGGTGGCAAGACCACTGTCCCTCATTCCACGGAGAATGCAAGGTGTCTTTGTGCATAAGGCACAAAGACACACTGGCACGGTATCTTTTCCCAAGCAGCAGCAACGTATGCAGGCCGTGTGCTCCCCTTCATCATAGCAACAAGCTTTTTGCCGCAAAGATAACAAACATGGCTCATCTTGTATATATAACTTTTTAAAAAGCAACGACAGATGTCATAGGAAGTATGTGGTGATGCTGTGTGCCACACACAGGCTGCATTTCCAGTCAATTCATACACCCTTAACAGTATTTTACTGTGGTGTGGAAATTATCTGCACGTGTTGAACTTGTAGAAATGGCCCAGCCCTATTATTTGAAATCTGCATTTTGCCACAGGCTTTTCCTAGTACCACAGGCAATAGGAAGATATTGCAGCTCAAAGCAGTAGTTTCAGAAGGGAAATGAAGTCAGTTGTTTGTGATTTATGGAAAGAGTGATTATGGAACAGTGGCTGAAAAGAGCAGATGGAAGGAGCGTGGAGAAGGATAATAAAATAACTGCAAGCACGAGATGGGTAAGAAGACAACACAAAGCAAAATGAAAAGCCTCAGCATCCCTTTTGTGAGAGAGTAAATATGATGTGCCCTTTGTATGCCCATGTTTTATCCAGGAGCATGTAGTGACATCCTTATTTACTATATTATTTGTGACATATTTATATCTACCGAAGCACGGAAGGTCAGTGACTTACAAGAATGTCCCCTGTTTCTGGTAAGATCAACCACAAGTAAAGGCAGGAAAGGATGTTGTGGTGGCAAAATGCAGAACCAGCTTTTGTCCTTTAAACAGCAACAGAAACTGAGAGTCTGGGAGCCCCCAAAATAAACCCACAGCTTATAAGGCTGCTAAAACAAAAAGAGGAACTCAAGTCTAGTTTCTGCGGGTATTTGTGATGAGTAGAGATGTCACAAAGCATGGTAAAGCCCAGCTAAAAACCAGGAATTTCTCCTGAATGGATAAAAAAAGTCCAGGCAACACTGCATTAGTCACTGCAGGTGAGCAGAACTTGCAAGCCACCAAAGCCAAACATGGCTTAGCTGTGTGCAATCAAGCCAGTCCTAGATACACACTGAAACTGAGATATTTTTTTCTACATGGTTAGAGAGCTGTATTCACTTGGATCATTAGTTGTCATCATCATCATCATCTCAGAATTTCACATTTGAGTCCAGCCCCTGTCAAGGGGGAATTGAACTCCCAACCAGATGCCTAAACCACTAAGCTATTTAGCAGTTTGTTATGAAAACGTTGTTTATGGGAAGCAGAACAAAGACATAGAATGACAGTAATGCTGAGAAAGGTTGAAGGCAGCATGAAAAGAGGGAGACCAAATACAAGATGGTTTGCCTCCCTAAGGGAGGCTTGAGTTTGCAAGAGCTGAGCAGAGCTGCTGAGAGCAGGCCATTTGGAAGATCGCTCATTCTTGGGGTTGCCATAACTCGAGGACGACTTGGCGGCACATAACAACAACAACAACAAAACGATAATATTTGATTACTAACTGCAACTCCTAGCAACTTGGTGGCACATAACAACAACAACAAAACTATAATATTTGATTACTAACTGCAACTCCTATGCATATATAAAAATCTCTACAGATGCTTACTAAGGCCAGGAACACTAAAATTATGAATAAATTTGCAAGTCCACCTCCCTACATTGGTTTGATACAAATTGTTCATCGGGGTATACAAGAGTTAGGGGTCATGGACTGTATCATCATTATTTAGTAATTTTCAGTAAAGCAAACTATTTCTTGAGGCATTATTCATATTCAGAAAGAGAAAACACTCCAAAATACAGTATACTAAACCGAATGTTTGCTTCAAATAATGCTGTAAGTCAGCTCTATGAGACAGAGAGAAGAGGTATATCACCCATATTTTGTCATTGCCAGGGGCTGACAGTCAGACCTGTTTTCTGACTACAGATAAGTGAACCTCCCTGGGCTTGATTTGGGCCTGAATTCAGCCAATTAAGCTATTTTCCAACAACATTCAAAAACCAGCTCAATTAATTATTTCCACATCCATTTCTGAGCCTTAATGAAACATAAGCTAGAGTGCAGGGCATCAAAATCTTTGTAAAATAATTCAGATGCATTAAAATCTTTTCCCCAGTCTCGCTGTGAGGCCCTGTTTCTTCCCTTAACCTACTGTAAGAGGATAGCCCTCTTCCACGCTTCACCTCCAAACTGCTTCTTCTCTTTACCCCTCCCCTTACCTGTCTGTGGTATGGCAAAGTGACGACTCCTCACCTTGGTCCTTCTGCAGATTGCCTGCCTTTAGGGCTGGCAGGTAGACAATCTGCGTATATCAATGTAGGGAGGAAAGAAGGACCTATAGACTACCAGAACTGCTGTAGGGAGAAGGGAGGATGGCAGAGTTGGTGCCTGAGTTGGAAAAAGAGGAGGCTTGGAGTTTTATTCTGGTTCACTAGTTTTCACATCAGATTGATTCTGCCAGCCTATCTGATATATCGTGTTTCTGTGTTCTTCTTCTTCTTCTTCTTCAGCATTATCCTTAAAAGTCCTCTTGAGCTTGTATCTAACCAAAAGTACTTAGCTCCATTACTATCTCTGCTATTTTTCTCCTTTTAGAATTTAATTTGTTGTATGATCGGCTCCTTCCCCTTTTCCCTTAATAATTATTGTCAGCACAGACTATCATTCAAGACTGTGTTTGTGGCAGGAACCATTTCACAATGTCACTAATCCCTTTTTTCTTTTTCTTTTTTCATTCTCTAGAAAAGTGTCCATATGCATGCGCGTGTGCAAGCATGCACGCACAAAATATTAAGCTATTATCTACTTAACTTGGCAATATGGCCTGCTGAATTAAATGGGACTTTCTTCTCAATAAATGTTTATAGGATTGTACTGGAAAACTTAGACAGGACAAAATAACAGCATACCTGATGAGCTAAGATATAGATATTATGTCCAACATCTTTCGGTGAAATAATGTCATCACCAGCCTCTTCCTCATGGTCACTCTCAAGACCCTGATTGTATGCATTCTTCATTACATCCACCTTGAAAACAAACAATATCCAAGTAATGTACAGTAAGTTCAAATTTATCCTCTGTAATAAAACCATATTTCAGTATATGTCTATTAAAGGTTTACCATTACCAATAATTTTTCAAATGAGAAGCTATATAAAAAGTCCAGTACCCAGTGAAAACAATCTATTTCACCTTAGTACAGAAAACACAGGGAAATGTAAATGTAGAATACTCTTAGTTAAAAGGCCGAGTTGCTTTATAACAAGGGGGGACAATGAATAAAGAAACAAACACTAACATATTTCATTTCAAAGTTGCTAATCAATAGGGGTATCCAACTGCTTGCTTCCAGGGATATAAATAATTTGTAAAGGTCAGGTAATCTTTATTTCCTTAGGAAACTTCACCTAGATATGGAACTTGTTTAGATTTTTCTCAGAGGAAAAAAAACCAGGATAACGGCTATTTTAGAAGTTAGTGGTGAAAAGTGAAGCACTACAGAAAAAGAAGCTTAAATGAAAAGAATATTTGCAAGGTTATACTTTAGTGAAGGATCTTGGTGGTATGTCTAGAGCTGTCAATGAGAGCAGTGTGATGGAGCCAGTTGCTGTAGGTCCTTGGCTGGCAACTACTTTTCAAAGGGGAGTCTTATCTGAAGACAGAGTATGAGCTAAAAATCCATCCAGATGGGCTCCAACCACTGACTCAGCTTTTTATGTCTCGTGCGTTTTCGTCTCAGCTCAGAGCTTGGGGAGGTTTCTGGGACAGTTTGGGAAACCCCAGAAGGAGCATGGAGTTTCTCAGAGATATAGTCCATGAAAGAAACTTTCCAAGCTCCATGTCAATTGCAGCAGTGAAAGAGAGGAGAACAGGATAGCTGGCATTTCATATAGGAACAGCCCATATGGTGAGCTGTTCCCATATAGTGGCACTTTGTATTATAAAGATGAAGAATATACATATATTTACTTACCAGCTCTCTCGGTCTCATATTGAAAAGAATTCTTTCAGCATTCTCGCTGTCATGCCTGCTTTCCATTATAGCCAGCAGAAGTTTGGAGGCATTATTCTAAGGACACAAAAGCAACGTGAGACATGCCTTCATACTATTTCATGGATTAATGAACGTGCATTTTCTTTAACTGAAATCAGTAGGATTTGAAAATATAAAATCATAAACTGCTTGCTCACTTCTTCTTTTCATTTTGGTTCATGACATGTGTCACAACAGTACACTCACTGAACAGCAAACCCACTGAAGGTACGTGTTTGCAAGTTGGATGGACGGCAACAGGACATTACATAGCTCACTGCAGCTGGCCCAGAAGTACACGCCTACATGTAAGTTTAATGAAATGCCCTGAGCCACTGGTGATTACTTAGGTGAAGAAGAGGTGAACCAAAGGTCCCATAATAAAGAATGCTAAAGGTTGAGTAAACCATGCTCTGTGCCATTGCAGATTATGGAACATTGGGAAGGGTGTCATTAAGTATAAGAAGAGTGTCATTAGGTGCTCCTGGAAATTCAGCTTATGTGAACTTCAAATGATACATTTACTTAAACAATATTGAATAGCTAGAGGCCAAACAACCCTACCAGCTCATGGGTGCAACCAAAGACAAATCTAAGCCTGTATCATAGTTAGGGACTTTGCATACACACATCCAAGTGTTAATCTTCCTTCACAGCTACATTTGTAAAATATCTCTGTTCTGATAGAAATGATTGTGTGAGATAAGATACGAAAAATTGGTTTCTAGTGTCTGGTCTGTGTTCAGTCATTCACACATGCAAGCTAGCTCTCGAGAATGTGATGCTATTACATTCATTAACAGATAAACATGCATTTGGCTCCCATTTGACATATTAGAGCCAAAGGGCCAGCAATGAGGACCTCTGACGTGCCACTGCAGATAGTAAGACCAGGCCTCAGTACCAGTATTCATCCAGGCAGTGTGTGTTTTCAACCCAGCCTTACAGTCTTTAAGTCCACTTCTATCAGCTACATGCTAGAGTATAAACCCAGTGGTTCATGGAGTCAGGCTTTCTTGAGATTGTGAAATTAGTATGGAATTAAACATCGTACCTTCAGCTGAAGCACCAAGTCCATTCGATATTTTCCAAGTGGATTGATGTCATTTAGGATCAGCGCAATGATAATGTCTATGCCATTAGACTCATGGGTAGCAATGCATGTCTAGAAAACACAAATACTTAAGCAGAATGAAAGCACATCCAAACAATGCTAATTTTGCATTCATATCTATTTCAAGCTTAAAAGATATGTGAAATACAACTACTGGCAGCTCACGACCAAGTAAAGGGACAGTGCCCCCAATATTTTTGTGAATGAGGTGTCCGCCCCTGACCCCTTCCTTTGTAGAAGAAGTGCAGGAAGAATACCTCACATTTTCCAGATTAATGTAACAATTAAGAAGCTCTTTGAATACTCTAAACACTACATTAATATTAAGTTTAAATATTATCCACAAATTATAATTGAAAGAATTTAACTGGAAATATTGGGGCCTTTGGAATTTATCTGTTAATCTATCCATCAACCATACTGTATTACAGAAATAATCAAGCACTTTTAAATCACATATGTTTAATAACAGTCCAAACCTTCATGATTTAAAAGTCTGAGAATTTTCAGAGCTATTACCTACTAAAATCATACTAGCATACCAAGATATGTATTGAAAAATTACCAAACAAGAAAACTGAAATATCTGTTTCTTGCTATTGGTTTCAAAACAGATAGTGTTATTTCTGCCTCATATGGAATCCACCTAAAAATACATCAGCCACCATCTTTGTTTACATGTGAATTTGGATTCCATTCCCCTACATACAAATGGCTTCCATAAGTACAATGAGCATATTAACCTTGGAATGTATGCCACCATGTTTGGTAATGGTAACAGGTAGCTTTTCTACAGATATACACATTCACACATCTACTTTAGGATAGCAGCTAAGATGCTATGATTATCAATTAATATTTGTAAACTATTTAGAGGACCTTGGTGCGGGAAACTCTCTTACTCCAAATACACAACAATTTAGACTTGCCATCTGCAAACTCTGGTGCAATCCAGATTTGACCTCTAAGACACAGTGGGAGACCGTGTAGCTGGCACCTCACATGTTTTCTTTTACTGGTCTTTCCCTTTTCCCTCCTCTGCCTTCTGTGACACTGGAATATCATCCCACAAGATGCATAAGAGTAGGATAAATGCAAGGAAGATAAAAGTAAGGGTGCTCAACAGCTGCACAATCTCCAAATGTGTTTTGAGCATGAATTATACAGTCAGGTTATCTGAGCTGAAAACCAGCAACTCTACAAATACTTGAAACAACCAAAGACAGACATTAGAGACCTGCAGCAACCAGACTGCTGGCTGGCGCTGGTTACAGGAATCACTGAACTGCCTTGTTACAGCAGCTCCACTGGCTGCCAATCAGTTACCAGGCACAATTCAAATTGTTGTTTTTAACCTACAAATGGCCTGGACCCTAGCAATCTCAAAGACCATTTTCCCATTATCAGTCAGCTCGGGTGTTAACATCATCAGGGGAGGCTTTTCTTTCAATCCCACCACCCTCACAGGTGCATCTGATAGGGACACAGGAGAGGGCCTTCTCTGTTGCTGCTGCCAGACTTTGGAACTCCCTCCCACAGGAGGCCAGACTGGCCCCATCTTTGTTGTCCTTCTGCAAGCACGCAAAGATCTTTCTCTTCAGACAAGCCTTCCCTTAGTAACTTGCTACTTCTGTGTGATTTTTAAATAGACTGCTATGCATTACTACCTTGATTGGATTTTTAGTACTACTTGTAATTTCCATTTTTGTGTTTTCCATTTCTCAAAGTGGCATTTCTTTAAAAATAATTGTATACCTACTGAGTATACAATTAAGAGATGTAATATGCTTCTTTATTCATTGTGCGTAGTTTTAAATATTGTCTTTAATGATGTTAACCATCATTGTATACTCATCATTTTCAATTTTAAATATTGTCTTTCCGCTTTGGGTCCATTTCTCTGATGTATTTTATCACCTTTTATCTATATCTATACCTATATTTATATAATCACCTTTAAAGGTGATTATATAAATATAGGTATAGATATAGATAAAAGGTGATAAAATACATCAGAGAAAAGGACCATATATAGATATAGGTATAGATATAGATAAAAGGTGCTAAAATACATCAGAGAAAAGGACCTAATGTGGCTTACAACCAGGGAAGACAATATTTAAAATTGAAAATGATGAGTATACAATGGTGGTTAACATCATTAAAAGACAATATTTAAAACTACAAACAATTATATATACAGGGGGATAAAATACATCAGAGAAAGGCATTTAAAACTACAAACAATTATAAATACAGGGGGATAAAATACATCAGAGAAAGCTACTTTAATTAAAATAAAATAGAACATTTGACAGCATTATATAACTAATTAGGCTATTTCTGCTTTTGCAGGAAATACTGTATATGCAATTATCATGCACATCTACTGAAGGTCCTTCACTGGAGGATGCAACTACCTGGTTTTCATGGCACGGGCCTTGGCAGTATTCAGTCAAGCTTTCAAGTGTTTGGTTCACCAGAGAAACATTCTTCTCATTGATGTAGAGTCCCAGCAGGCCCAGCCCACCTGTTGTACTTCCACAAATGCAATCCAAAAACTGAAGTGTCTCACATACAAGGTTGTAGTTGGTTTTGTTGTTCTGGTTTCTTAAAAAGTTCTGCAAAAAGGAGGGGGCAGATCCAAGACATTTGCAAATGTAATGTGAAACATAAAGAATCAATTCAGACATTACACCAAATTCAACGACCTAGGTATCTGGCTGCGGAGCTAGAGTTCAATTCGGAGTTCAGTTCCCCACTGTGCTTCTTGTGAGTACAGCCAGCTTGTTGGGCAAGCTATGCAGTCCCAGCATGCCTCTAGAAGAAGGGAATGGTAAACCACTTCTGAGTATACTCCACTTGGAAAATCCTTTAAAGGGTTGCCATTAGTCAAAGCTTATCCATTCAAGTTTGGTAAAGTTTGAATGGCACATCTAGGTTGCAAACAACTGAAAACCAAAATCAGAAACTATGGTCTGAAACACACATCCAAACCCATGGCATAATGTCTGAATTGACACACCACAGTCATGACTATTAATTTGCACCAACTGGGAAGTAATACTGATATTTTAAAACTTAGCATGGTTTATGCCAAGCATATAAGGGCATAATGTCTGAACTGACACACCACAGTTATGACTATTAATTTACACCAATTGGGAAGTAATACTGATATTTTAAAACTTATTTCTCACTTCAGTGCCCTGTAGCATGTACATGTTCAAACCCTTAGAAGAAAGCATTTTCTTAGTTTAATCTGTAAAAGTACACATTGGTCAGGATTCTATTTTGCCTCCTCTGCCTTCTCTGGCAATCAGAACTTCAATATCACCCTACAACATGCATGGAGGAGGATGACTAGAAGGAAGAGAGAAGCAAAGGATGCCCAACAGCATCATAACCCCAGCCTGGGTAAGGTTTGTGTAACTTGTGGTCGCTAATTGTTGAAGTGCCAAGATGAATCTTGGTTGTGCATTTGGTCACATGCTTGATTATGGGCTTGGGAATATTCACCATCATTAGCTGTGGCAAGTTATGCAATCCTTACACAAACATCATTTCTGGGTGAGGTGATGGGCTACTCAGTAAAGCTACAAGCAGAGAAACCACAACCCAGAAATCACTTTTATTTTAAAGTAGGCTAGAAGGCCTAAGTATTTGTAGTTGGAAACTAATTAATTCTATTGTCAAGTAAATGTGTATAAAATTTCATCCTTAAACATATCCATATCCTGATTTGTAGCCATAGTGATGGAGCAATGCTCGGGCTGGCACTGGAAATTATTTTCTTAAGCCATCGCTCAGTGATTTATTCTGCAAGCAAATGGCTCTTCCTTCAGTCCCACAGCAACTCCAGTTCAAAGGATCCTTGAGACCTATGTTCAATCAGGAAGGAGGTGGTGGCAAATATATTTGCATGAGACCACAGAGCACCACTGATAGTCCACATACATATTGCTTGGCTCAGTGAACCAGCAGTTTGAATCAATGTACAGAAAAGACGTATGTTCACACACCACACTATTGTTGAGTACTTAAATCCATTGGCTTTGGTTTATTCAAAATTATTGGCTATTTGTAGGCCTTGTGACAAACTGGCCAAATTGCAGTACTGCAGTAAAGACTTTGCTCACAAACTGAGTTTGATCCAAATGGGCTCAGGTACTGGCTCACGACTCACTCAGCCTTTCATTCTTCTGAGAACAGAAAAACAAGCACCCAGTTTGCTGGTGTGTGTGCGTGCAGTGTGTAGCTGCATAATTAAATTGTAAGCTGCCCAGAGAGTGCTTTAAGCACTATGAGGCAGTATATAAGCAGCACACTTTGCTTTGCTTTTTTGCTTTATTTACTGTTCAGTGAGATCTAGGGAATTAGGGTAATGGCTGTGAAAAATCTGCACAGCACTTTGCAGGCAAAGTCACTCGGGTCCGCTCTGACTTGGATGCTGTAGTTAACACAGGTCCTGTAAATGTAACTATGGCTCCTGCTTGTCCTGTGTTGATGGGTAACTTTCAGTTTTTGCAGCCTGGACAGATGTGGACAGGACCCTGGGAGAGGCGAAGGCTACCATTTGTGTGCGGGACCCTTGCCCATCCTGGTTTATAAAAGCTGCCAGAGATGGACCGGCCAAGTGGGTCCAACGGGTAGTAAATGCCTCCTTGCAGCAGGGAAGGACGGGACCCTTGCCCGTCCTGGCTTATAAAAGTTGCCAGACAGGGACCGGCCAAGTGGGTCCAACGGGTAATAAATGCCTCCTTGCAGCAGGGAAGGATCCCAGCTTGCTTAAAGCAGGCAGTAGTTAAGATCATTATTTTAAAAAATCCTCCTAGGATCCCACAGTACTGAATAATTACTCTAATATCCCATTCTTGGGCAAGGTGCTGGAGTGGGTTGTGGCTTCTCAGCTCCAGGGATTCCTGGATGAGATGGATTATCTAGATCCATTTCAATCTGGCTTCAGGCCTGGCTATGGGACAGAGTCTGCTTTGGTCTCTTTGACACACAACTCTACTTCTCCTTTCCATCTACATCCAAGGAAGCTGTTTCAGTTCTAAATCAGCGTCTGGTGTCAGTAATACTGGATGAGTGTGACTACTGAAACTTAATCCAGACAAAACAGAGGTGCTCCTGGTCAGTCAAAAACCGGATAAAGGAATAGGGTTGCAACCTGTGCTGGATGGGGTTACACTCCCTCTGAAAACACAGGCATGCAGCTTGAAGGTGTTTCTGGATTCATCTCTGAGACTGGATGCCCAGGTTTCAGCAGTGGCCAGGAGTGCCTTTGAACAGTTAAAACCTAGTGTGCCAACTGTGCCTGTTTCTTGAGAGGTCTGATCTGCCCACAGTGACACACGCCCTAATTACATTTTAGTGGAATTACTGTAACATGCTACATGTGGGGCTCCCTTTGAAAAGGGTTTGGAAACTCCAAAGGGTTCAAAATGCAGCAGTCAGATTGTTAACTGGAGCTATATAACATATAGGGAACATGTAACTCTCCTGTTACAGCAGCTCCACTGGCTGCTCATCCGTTTCTGGGCACAATTCAAAGTGGTGGTTTTAAGCATAAAACCCTAAACAACTTGGGTCCAAGCTATCTAAAAGACCACATCTCCCTCTATGAGTCTGCCTGAGCTTTAAGATAACCAGGGGAAGCCTTTCTCTCAGTCCTACCACCCTCACATATGTGTTTGTTGGGGACGCGGGAGAGGGCCTTATGTGTCCCTGCTCCCAGACTCTAGAACTCCCTCCCATGAGAAGCTAGGCTGGCCCCATCTTTGCTGTCTCTTCTTTTAAGGTTTTCTCTTAAGGCTTCTCCTTAATGACTGGTGGCATGAGAGGGGTTTTTTTTTAAATGGATTGTTGTGTTCTGTTGTTTCAAATGTGTTTTGATATTGATTTTATTTACCATTTAAATATAATACTTGTTTAATTCTTTTTAATATTTGTATACTTACAGGTTTTAGCTTTCAAATACAGTACTGTTGTTTAATGATATGAGCCCCCTTGTGTCCTTTTAAGGAGAAAGGTGTGATAAAAACATTTTGAATAAATAAATAATAAATAAATTACTTTGGCTGTTAGACAGTTAATGCTGCCTTCTTCTCTTCAAAATTCTCTTTAGGATCCACTTTCACACAAGTATCCTTCCTCTTGCGTTACTTTTCTTCCAGTATAGCTATTACTCTACTTTATATACTCAACCGCCTACCTGGAGTTCCCTGTTGTGATTCTCACAGAGCAACTGAAGAAATCTCAATATTGGCTGCATGATGATAATGGCAGGGCTCATTGTCATTTCTTCTGCTGATTTTTCTTCTACATTTCCTGGGTCTGTCCCTGGGCTCATGAAATCAATTTCTGGATCCATTTCTCTACGGTATATGTAGTAAGCTTTGGAGGTTGCTGTGGAGGCTTCTGTCAACTGCCCTTTCATTCCTTCCTTTAGATGCAACTTTGAGTCTCTCACTACAAAGAGGAGAATGGATGCATTGTTATCCCCAAATATAAACAGCAAGGGTGGGTTGGTACCACTAAATATTTTCTGGATAAGGTGATGTGCTACTCAGTTGTTATAAGAACTAGGAAGATGATAAAGCACTTTAAAAATGAACACATTGTGGCCATTAACTGCTGGGATATTGGAAACCATTCCTGAGGCTTGAAAAAATAAGGTCCACCAAACGGGTGTGATCAGATGTGAAATAGCTGGCGTTTTGGACCTCTTATGGCACCATTCAGTGCAAGCTATTCCCTGGTGATAACATGATATACAGGCGATTGTGAACCAGTCTGACCCTGAGCCATGCCCAAGCTGGGTCTTTTTGGTTCAGAAGCAGGGTTATTCTGTACTGGGCCGGGCTGGGGCAATTTGTGAATGGATGAAAAGGTCATTGTAAGGGAGATCACTCCCCACAAAGTGACCTTTTCTGGTGTGATCAGATGCAATCCTTTCTCACTCACGGATCATGCCCAGAGTTAAGCCAATTAATTGCAGGCCATTTTAATGACCCATTGTATCATTCATAGCATAAGTGGAGCTCCAACACTCTTTCTCTCTAAGTTTTTCATGCCCAATTCATAGTGCTCATAATGATAAATCACACTTACAACTCCCCAGCAACCCGAATGCTGGAACAGCCCCTTGTCTACCCCACTTAACCTGTACAAAAGGATGTGTCACAATAGATATTGGTCAGATTCCCCTCTCTCAGGTCCTTGGAGAAGACCTGAATGTGGAATTTTCTTCCCTTTCTAGAACAGTTGTTCTGGCCTCTTTTCTTTCATTTTTCAGATTGCAAGCCAAATATATACATTGTTCAGGAATACCTTTGGGCAGGACAATTTCATCTGTTATGCTAAAGGCAGGTTACTATGTTCAACAAATTTTTATTTTTAAGCCTTTTATGTGTTATATTTTATGTTCATTGATTTGATTTTAGAATTTGAGTTCTACTGGTACTAACTCGAGTAGTTTTACTGCAATGTTACAATGCCTTAAATCAGTGTCTCTCAACCTGAGAGTCACAACCTCCGCAAGAGGAGGTCATGAAGTGTTTTCTCAGGTGCGTGTGTCATCGGTTGCCTTAAATGTAGTCCTTGTTAAATAATTTCATCCTTGACCTTTCAAAATGGGAAATTAAAGTCAGTGTAAATGTGTACGTACAAGAAACAGGCCCTCTGGGGGCAAAAGAAGCCTCACCTTTCTGAGGAGGGATGACTTTACCCTATTAAAAATACATTTTTATGCAAACGAGGGGTGTGTGTCACAGATTACTTTGCTATTATATAAAGGGGGTGTGACGCGAAAAAAAATTGGAAACCACTGTTTTAAATTTGGGTTTATTATGATAAATTTTCATCATTGGTTACTTGGGCTGTCTAATAAGCAGGAAAGTCAGAGCTGTCCCAAAACATGTTTGCTGCCTGAAGCAGAGGCAACAAATGATACCCCCACTTATCCCTCAAACAAAAATAGGCTATCCTTTGACGGACCTTCAAATCTCATCCTGGGATGACTGCCTTCCTCTACTTTCTGATATGGTGTGGCCTAAATGAAGTATAAAATCTTTAATTACCTATATTTTTATGCACAGGAAGAAAGTACCACAATCCCACCAAGGATAGAAACATTTTTCTCCCTCCACCCCTTCAAAAGGATGTTATTATCTGCAGTGCCCACCCTAATGTGCCCTGAACTTTACTTCCATCTGCTCTTACCTCTCTTTTTCGGAACTGACATGGTCAAGTCGTTGTCCTCCTCCTTCTTTTTGCTGCTCAGATCTATTGTGTTTACTGTTACTGTTGATCGGATTTCTTGTTGGGCTGTTTTCATTCGATCATACAGAACTTTGAAAAATTTCTCCGATTTTTTCTGTTCATTCAGTTGCTGATAGAAGGAATACTAGAGAGGGAAAAAATAAAGTTCTTCCATTAATAATATGTTTAATATGTTAATAACAGAGTAATATCCTGGTATCATACTACTAGGCTCAGAAATAATGTGTTAAAGTCTTGTTTGTTAAAAAAAAAGACCCTAAAAGGGCCTTTATGGAAATAATCCATCATATGTCAGGTCTTCCTCTTTTCCTACAGCCATTTACTTTTCCTAACATTACTGTCTTTCCAATAAGTCTTTTCTTCTCACGATAATCTCAGCTTAGTTATTATAACGAATCATGAGAATTCAGATTTGATTTGAGCTAGAACCAGTTTTTTGGCCTTTCTGGTAATCCACATTATTTGTAAAGCTCTCCTCTAACACCCCATCTCAAACAATTGTTTCCCATTCCACCTCTGTCTAGTTTTCACATCTGTACATCATAATTAGAGGTGGGGGACGAATATAAAAATGCATAATTTTTTTTCAACGAATATAGCAGATTCGTTAAATATTTGTTCGTTCGTATTTGTCAAATTTTAAGTCCCCACGAATACAGCTTGACGAATATTTCCCCATTTTATTCATCCTTCATAATGTAAAAAAATTGCCTACCAACTGCCAATCACCTGATTGGCAGGCCGATAAGCAGCCACCCAGCCCCATAGGCACCCATCCCCACATCATACCCCCTTCCTCTCCCTATTTTAGCCCCCACCCCTGCCGACATCCCCTTACCATAATTCTCACCACTGCTGCTAAGGTCACCTCTGCAGCCATGGCATGTTAAAAGGGAAACTGGCTGCCCTTTGCAAAGATGGCGGTTGTGACTTCATTTAGAGTAGCGAAGCTCCAGCTGCCATTTTTGCAAAGGCAGCCTGGATTCCCCTAGCCTGCCTTAAGGGAATCCATATCTCCTCCAATAACCACCTCCATGTCTTAGGATCATTCAAAGGGTCCCTCCTCTTAGTCTTCTCACTTTTACAGGTACGTTTGTTGGGGAAGCCAAAGGAGAGCCTTTTTGGTGGTTGCCCCCAGGTTATGGAACACCTTCCCCTGTGAGGCAAGGTTGGCACTTGGCACTCTCTCTGTTCTCTTCTTTCAGTGACAATTGAAAACCTTTTATTTCAACAGACTTTTAATATATAATTTTAACATAGCTAGTTACTCTATGCTGGCTGGATAGCTCAGTGGTCACTGTGCCTTCTGGGAGAAGAGCCAGCCTGTGTGGACATTGGCAATCTGCACATTTCCACAGTGCAACCAGGTAATGGTAAACCACTTCTGAGTATTCCGAATCTATAAAACCCTTGAAAGTAGGAATCAACTTGATGCCATACAATGATTATTATTTATTAATTGTCCTATACCTGCTGCCATTATATCCTTTTAAATGTTCTTTTTAATGCTTTTATACCTTTTAATCTTTCATATATGATGATTTAGTTATTTCCATGTTTAATAATGTTTTGATGATACTTTTGTTTTAATTCTCGTCTCTTTTAATGATCTGTGAGCCAGCCACCCGGAGTCCCATGGCCAGGAGCAAGGCAGAAAAGAAGTGCATTAAGTAATTATGATGATGATGTATCACTGGTGCCATTCAGAACATTGTTTTCTGCATCAAATAATCTTGTTCAGCCTCCTTTATATTACAGCAGCCAGACAGATTCCACAAGATCCTTACAAGCATCTTAAAGATATTTTTCCCTAATGTTGGTGTTGGTCTCTAGCATCTGGCATTTGGTGGTACATTGCCTCTAAAAATGGGGGCACTTCTTAGAAATCATGGATAACTGCAATTGATAGAAGCACCTGTCCAAAATTACATTTGTGTTGACAGCCAGAGGCTTTAAATAAGCAAATAGTACACTGTATGCAGTACTTCCATTGTTAGTCCAAACCTAATGTCAGCCAGTTTCTTTTCAATGTCAGGAGCTCTAGCTTTGTTAAAAAGGAAGAAAGATATGCCACTACATTTTTATAGAAAAAAACAGTGATACACTTTTAAAAAAATGTCAATGAATTTGACAAACTTAGAAGGAGTACCAGCAATGGTGGAAGGAATAAGTATGGGAAGTAAGTACCTATCTGAAGCAACAAAAAGTACACTAATTTTGAAATAGACTGACTTCTACATTTCTGTGAACCTTGGGGATGTTTTCATTGTTTGAACAAGTTTTCAATATTAATTGACACTTAAATTTAATAAACATACCTGAATTTGTGTGTTTCCTCCTTCAAGCAATGCGATACCCAACAAGATTGCTTCAGTGAATATCCTGTCATTTTTCGTACTAACAATGACATCTGTGACAAGTTCCGATGCTCCTTCTTTATCCAGAAGGCACTGGATATCATGCATCGATACACCAGACTTATCTGAATCTTGCCCCGAGAAACTGCCTGGAAGATCATATGTTTGCCAATATTCAAACATGTGCTGTTCATTTTAAAAATATTCATTCTAGAATAAAATTCCTCTCAGCTAACTATGCTTTCCTAATTTTCTCATATTCAGCATTTATGAATAAAACGTATAGCTACATCTTTTAATGAATTTCAGAGAGCGACACTTTTAAACAGCTGGTAGTGAAATAATCTATACACTCTAGAAGTAGTCAGGATACAGCTCTAAAACACTGGAATTAAAGGAGAAAAGAGCACTTCTGAGCATGAGCACGTGTTCAAGATTTCTCAGCATTTTAAAATAATTTATACTGAGTGACTCTAAATATCCAGAATCCACTTTAGGGTGGACCTTTCACAGATTGATCACAGGGTTTTAACAACAAGTCCCAGTTTTAGACCCTGATATCTGAAGAGCACATGCTCTTAGCAAATAAGAGATAATGGACAGAATCCTATTACATACTTACACCAGCATAATTCTAATGGCAGAAATGTGAGTGATAATTTTCCACCAGTTACAAAGTCCATGCTTGATTTGGGGGTGGTTTTGGTTGTTTACTAACTTGTTTAAACTGTTTCCTGAAGCCCCATGTGCTGAAAATAACAATTTAAACAACAGACACCACAGACTTCATCTCTAAAGTAGAAAAACCAGAGGTCACAACTAAGATCTGAAAAGTCTCTAATCTTTATGTGACATAAGGTCAATTAATCATATGGCCATAATACCATTAGTCATCATATAAGGTTTGTGTAACCCACAACAGTTAATTGCAATGAATTGACAAATCGCTGCTGCTTATCTCAGTCACGTATCTGGTGACACATCCAACTGCAACTGAGATACACTCTGGTCCCTCATCAGTTAGCAGTAGCAACTGATATAATCTTTAGAAAATCTGGTCCCTCATCAGTTAGCAGTAGCAACTGATATAATCTTTAGAAAAACCACCAGTAGCACTCTTGCTACTACCATGTTTCCCCGAAAATAAGACAGGGTTTTATATTAATTTTTGCTCCAAAATCACATTAGGGCTTATTTTCAGAGGATGTTTTATTTATTTTTTTCATTCACAACAATCTACATTTATTCAAATACAGTCATGTCATCTTCTTCTGGTTGCTGCACAATGATGGAGGGTGTTCATTTAACTGGAGCTTATTTTGGGGGGTAGGGCTTATATTATGAGCATCCTGAAAAATCATACTAGGGCTTAGTCTCAGGTTAGGTCTTATTTTCAGGGAAACAGGGTATATCTCTCATTTTGAGATTGATTTCTATAGGTCAAAGATACATGTTCTACTGATTTCAATAGGAGAATGACTCATTGCCATGAAAGTCAATAGGAATGCGTTTAATGTTCAACTTCCATTTTACCTGGGCTGGCACACATTCACACATGCCTCTGTAGAAAGAAGAGCAGTACTGAACATACTTGTTTTAGTATTGATTTTAATAGGAAAATGCTACTTACCTCCTCCTTGGGTGGCTTTGCCAAAGTTGCCAGACAGAGGGCCATTGCTGCTGCTTCCATAGTCACCTTTAAAATAGCGAGCAAGAAGTATTTTCCTTAGGTTGCTGCCCTTTAATAAAAATATAATAGTATGAAAAAAATACAATTTCAATCAATAACCCAGAATACCAATCCCACTGATATGCAGTCTTAACAAACTGGGCAATCTCCATGACTCTTGAACCTACAGTGGAGGCACTGGTGATTAGAAATGGGCCAAAATTGAGACTCCTGTCCAGAGGCAAACTCTACACTTTCTCAAGGTGTTTTGTTCTCTAACTGTGAACTGGATTTAACCAGCCAACTTTTTCTAGTTCATAATCTGTAAAGCACAGGGAATGGAAGCTAGCACAAACTGAGGCCAAGTGCAAAAGAGATGGTGGGGCTGAGATGTACAGTGGAAGGTGTTTAATGATGGGTGTAATGTCCAAAAATCAACCCACATATTCACAATATTGACTTTTGCAGTCTACAAGAACAGTGGTGTGAAATGCTGCTCTGGTGAAATGCTGCATGTTGGCACAATATGATGCTGGTACTGCAGCATTGACATGATTCCTGGTAACACATTTTGCATATTTATAACTGTGTAACATGAACAGCTACCTGAACAACATACCATATTTTTCTGTGTATAAAGCAACACTTTTTTCCTTAAATAATTTGAGGGAAAAATTGAGGATCGTTTTATACACGGAAGGCTCTTTACCACTGCCTTTTGTGAAGGCAGGGGGCTTAGCAAAAAGGAAGGGGAGGTGTTGCTCTCTTCCTTTTTGCTAAGCTCCGTGGCTTTTCAAAAGGCAAGGAAAAGCGGCAATCACTTTGACAGCCGCTTTCCTTGCCTTTCGCCAAGACATGGAGCTTAGCAAAAAGGGAGCACTTTGATCCCCGCTTCTTTCTAATTTGGGGTTAGAAAAGGGTTGGGGTCGTCTTATACATTGGGTCATCTTATAAACGGAAAAATATGGTATTTCTTTTTCCTACCAACTAAGTTGTGATCCCCAATAGTTAGAGCTCATGCATAAAAAAGGGATGAGGGAATATGAAGCTGCACATTTACATGGACATCTTTGTTCATATAAGTATATTATTAGATATCTGAAATTAATATTTAAATAAACATATGATTTATAAAAAGCAGAGACTGAGGCATACTAAGGTTTTGTATATGCCTTCTGATTTTAAAAATTAATTGCCATTAAGCTTAGGGATCAATTATCTAGGGAAAAGGAAGATCTCCTGCACTCATTGAATTGTAATTAACACTAACTGAGGAAGGAAGGAAGGAAGGAAGGAAATACAGTACTGATTGATTTAAAAGGAACTTTGAGTTATACAAAATCCTGAGCCAGTAAATCACTTATATCTCAGATCAAGTCATTAGACAAATTATCCACATTTCAGGCTAAAATTCTATTCCTAGCTGAATGTTTCTAATGATTGATCTGCTCTGGACTACATGGCCTTATTGCAGCACAGCCCCATCATGTGCAACTGTAAATGCATGGGGAAGCAACTTGCCTCAACTATTCCATGATATCATTAATATTGGAATGATTTCCTTCATTTTCAGAGGAAAACCCTCTGTTATTAAACTCAGCACACCACCACAATGGAATTTCAGATTAATAAATTGCAGAAAGTACAGGCATAGACAAAAAGCAAACAGGGACAAAAGTGCTAGAAGATTATTTACATTATTCTACCTAGATGATTTTTAGATTACCTTAATACACACAAGGGGCATGATCTCAACCTTTGTACCCTACACATGCACATGGCACAGGCAAAACTCATATTTCAGTGATTGTTTGCTAATGAAATGCCACACCCACACACCTTCTCTAAAAAGCTGAATACTGAAGCATCACAACTTTTGAAAGGGATACATATATGAGGACACAGATGTTAAGTCAGAAATGGGAATGTACACAAATCACTTTTTCAATGTGGTTTTCCATCCAATTGAAATAAGACATGACTGTACTGGACTGAGGTATCAGTCTTCAACATTGTCAACAACAGCAATAACAATAATTCAGCATAAATGCTTTATGGACCAGAATATGTAAACTACACACCATAAATAATGTTAAACAGAGTGATATATTTATTAAGTAAGGAAATAAATAAGCAAATGAGTAAACAGTCTTTAACATTTTTCATAGTTTTTAAAGTCCTGAGGAATCTCCACTGTACATAAATCTATTTTGTCCCTCAGTAAAGAACACAGCACTAGATCAGAAACAATACTCAAAATGCTTACATACTTTAGAGTAAATGAATCTTTTGGAATTCTTTTCTTCTCCCACTTTGAAATAAAGTCTCACAGCACAGAAATGTTTACAATAAATATTCTAAATGTGGCTTTACAATATAGCATCTGTATTTTACTGTGCCATCATATTATACTACATACAGCTGTTTTTCCAAAGACAGGATACTATGCTTCCCGTTAACTACCAGTCTGGGATCTGTGAACACTGAAAAGGTATTTTTCATTTTCTTTTCAATGCCTGGTTTTATATGCCTCCCATGATAAGAAAGTTGCTCAGAGGAAATCCAGATAAATATGTTACTTCTAGAGAGATTCTCTTTGCTGCAGCAGTATAAAAGCATATAAATGTCTCAAGTGAAATTTTCTGACTTTTCAGGAAGACTGCCTTTTAAACCTTATCTGAAGAGAGACAGACAATTGTGCTTGCATGTGCACACACGTGCATAATAACACACATGCCACACATTGGTCAAATCCTGTCCACACAGGTAGGCTATGTAAGGTTGATGACACAACCAGCTGTAGTGATTTTTCAGAAATAAAATTTTTCTCATCCCCCCCCCAGGTTCCCATGGGGTGAAGCCATTAGGGGCTGCAGAACAGGAGAAGTCCTTAATTTTGGAATATCATTGCCAACAGGATGACTTCACCAGTGGTAGTAGCAATTTTCAGAGATTAAAGACTTCCTCCCATCCAACAGCTTCTTCACAACAAAACAGATTCCGTGGGGGCCTTGGGATCTTCAGGCAGCAGGGGCAGTGGGATCAGAAATGCTTTCTTTCTGAAAAACTGCTTATGTTGCACACCCTGCAGAACAGGATTTCAGCCACTGTGTTGTTTTCATCCTGCACTGTAGTTATGCTTTTACAGCCCCACAATTTGTAGCAAGAGTACAGATTTTTAATCTTTCTACTCAAGGAGACCTCTCTCCACAATAATTGGTCTGCTGGGGAATGTCTGTACATGTCGTCAAACTCCTGCGCATTGCAGATGAAGCCTGACAGTAGTGAGCAGCTGAGCAAGCTTGTCCACCATGACTACACTCGTAATTAAAGAACCCCTGAAAACCTTCTAGTGAGCCACAAGATTCCAGGGCCACTATTTGACAACTAGTGGCCCATGATTAAGCAAATTAGTAAGACTGATTATGAAAACATATTAATCTGAATGCTTTTATTCACAGTGAATAAACTGCCTCCATTGGTTGCAGAAAATGGAACGACTTATATAGCTCTTAATTGTATAAGAGTGTGGAACTTAAACAGTGCTCAGCTGACTCTCAATTCTTATGTAATGACAGTAGGAGACATAATATGGCTTTTAAGAAACAGAATAACGGTCCTATTGTTAGCCATTAATACCATTCTTCTGCCTCTAACAATAGTCTCCAGGGGGCAAGAACAAAGGTCCAGGGAGACAGTGTGCGTTTCAAGAGCTGATACAAAGAGGACAAATATTTCTAAAAGCCAAAATATGGTTTCAGAAAAAAGCAGGAAGGGACAAACTTTATTTTCCATTAAGTTTTATAATACATTAATTACTTCTACAAAGAAAAACACACACACACATTCTTTGGAAGCCTTTTCCTCACAAACACATGGCTGCATATGTGCCTGAATGGATAGGTGGATGGATAGGCAAACAAATGAATAAGAAGCAGACACACCCACAGAGAATCTCCAGTTGTATTACAAAGATACTCTTAGAACCCTGAGGCAACCTGCATAGAATCATAGAATAATGGCCTTGGAAGGGGCCTATAAGGCCATCAAATCCAATCTCAGTGGAAGATTCCAAGTTAATATGTATCTCTGACAGTTGTCTTCAGTGCCTTCAGTATTGGAGGACTCAACACCTCCTGAGGTAACTGGTTCCAATGTTGTACTGCTCTAACAGTTTAGGAGTTTTCCCTCCTCCTGAGATTCAATCATTATTGACCCCATTATGATGACTCTGCACTTGGGAATGGTTGAGAACGGATCTTCCTGACCCTCCTCAGGATAACAGCCTTTCACATATTGGAAGAGTGCTATCATATCCCTCTCCCCCCCCCCAACAATCTTCTTTTCTCAAGTCAAACCCTTTTCAACCTTTCCTCACAGGATTTGGTTTCGTCCCCTAAACATCCTTGTTGCCCTCTTGATAAGTCTTAAAATGACTTGAATGGCACCTAAATCCTCACCTATAGAAGAACTTAAGTAGAGCCCAGCTGGGTCAAATTCTAAGGGAAACTACATGTGCACTCTCATGCTTTAACACTTTCTTACATTTAGGATATACCTGAAGGGGTCCTTTTTGCCTCCTAGCCCCATATTGTTACATGGAGATGCATCTGCAATAACTAGGAGTGACATCAGCCCAGAACAATGATTCTAACTCAATTCAACAATCTCAGGGTTTGTCAGAGTGGAAGTACTTTGCTTCAGAACTAGCCTCACAGGAATGGTTTCTACAGACCAAATAGGGTTGCTGAGATGCATACACCATTTGGATATAAGGAGCACATCAAATGCAATACTGGACCTCTTGTTGATTCTCTGAAATGGGTACCAGCCAGGTTCACTTCATGAGCCTAACTTTTAGCATAATGGGAGAGGCTAAACAGGACTCTCCATCTGTCTTATTCAAATCATCCATACTTTTGCAAACTTTTCTCACCTCTTCCCTTATTCAACTAATCTTGCAAAGGACTGTGACCACCACCACCAAGGGATGGGGTGGCCGAGCAGATCCCCTCAGTTATGGGCTCCATGAACTCCAGACATTCAGTTCTGCCAGTGTTTGGTTTTATT